CTCCCCTCCCCTCTACTCTCTTCTCCCCTCCTCCCTACTCTCTTCTCCTCTTTCCTCCCCTCCACTCTGTTTCCCACCCCCTCCTCCTTCCTCTTCCCTCTTCTCTCCTTTCTTCTCCCCCTCCTCTCCTCTTCCTTCACCTCCCCTACTTCCCCTCTCCTCCTCTCCTTCCCCCCCCCCCTCTGTCTCCATCTCAATGAGCAGCCCTTGTTTTTCCTTGCATTTCAGAATGTGTGGCCACCAGACCTCTTCAGGTCTCCGTGGGCTTTAGAGAGTCACAATTCTATTGTTTCAGGCTTTTCTTTTCTCAGTAGCTCTGATGGTCCCTCCAGGGCTCTCCATCCAGACTGCTGTCCTTGGGACTATTTTTAATTCACAAGATTCACATGGTGCTGAAAGGGAAATTGGGCAGTTTCCTTTTGATGTGTGGATGGAAGGACTTGGGGAGGCCATGGTCATGGGTGATGGTAGATGGAAAGAAAACATGGACTGGAAGAGCCAACTGAGAGACACGATGAATTCTAAATTCTTCCATCTCTGCATGAGATGAGACGACAAAGAAAAGCTGTGGAGATGAAGTTACTTTTTGTTTTGTTTGTTTGAGACAGGGTGATCTAACCCAGGGTACCATGTAGCCGAGGATGACTCTCTGGCCTCTTCTTTCCCATTGCTGAGATTACAGGCCTGTGCCTCCTCTTCTGGTTTATGTGGCACTAGAGGTGGAACCCAGGGCTTCCATGCATACTAGGCAGTGCTCTACCCACTGAGCCACACCCCCAGCTCTAAGCTGCCATTCTTAACAGGACCATGTCCCCACCCTGTTCTTTGTGACAGGAGATGCTTGTGTGTTTTTCTTTACGTGGACCCTAAGGATCCTTGTGGCTTCTGTGCCTCACTGTGGAAACGAAGTCCTAAAGAGCCAGGGTGTCTTCTCTTCCATAAGAGGACTGACAGTGCAGTGAGTGGGCCATTCCTGCTTTGAAGGACACCAGCACTGGGCTCCTGGGAGCACTAGCCTTTCCCGGGAAGCTTGCCTGTCTTCATGGCCCACCATGTGTAAGAGCAGCCACTGTGCGGGCGTTTGTGTCCCTGTGCAAGGGGACCATTCACCTTCTCAGCCCACACCACTTCTTAACCACACCCTGCCTCCGGGACTCCGTTCTTCCCCAGGCAGCAGTGTCAGCTTCCTCTCAAAGTCTACCAGAAAAGCTTCGAGAATATGTCACTCAGTGTTGTTGTTGCTGGCAAAATGCAACACACAAATGTCTGACAAAAACATTTCAGAGGTTCTGGGAAAATGGTGCTGGAGAGATAGATCCTCAACGACATGCTGCCAAGCCTGACGACCCCAGAGTCCACATGACAGGAGACCTGACTCCACAGGTTGTCTCTGCCCTCCATGTAATCCCAGAGCTACTCACATGGCTCCTCCCAAATCAATGTATGCCATTTTAAAATGTAAAAATACTCAAAGGAGGAAAACTTTCTTTAGGCTGAGTGGTTAGGGTCCATTGTTTCTGACTGGTGAGGCCCGGCATCGTGGGGGCTGGGACGCAGAGGGACCACACCTGCTGCAGCAGGCTCACGTCTTCCCATTTTGTTATATAGGCTCCTGGCCTTGGGGCTGACGCTGCCCACATCAGGGCAGGCAGCCTCCCCTAAGTAACCTCTGGGAACCTGGAAGCACATTCACAGACACAAGTGGGGTGGTCTCCCAACCTCCGAGGTGCTTCCCAACTTCTCGGTCCAGTCAAGTTGAATGTCAGAAAGAAGTGAGGCAAAGCCAGAAGCAGTTTTCTCTTAGATATTTTTCTTTTACTTTTCAAGATAATAATATAATTACTCATTCCCTTCCTCTCTCCAAATCCTCCCATATGCCTCTCCTTGCTTTCTTTCAAATGTATGCCCCTGTCTTTTTATCAATTGTTGTTACATACATGTATATATTCATATAAATTCCTAAATACCTAAGTACACCCTGCTCAGTGTGTACATTACTTGTAGGTGTGTTTGGGAGTGGGGTTAACCATTTGGTATTGAATAGTCAATCAGTGCTGTCTTCCCAGGGAAAGACACTCTCCCAGTCTTGGCATTCTGTAGTTGCCTACAGTTCTTTGTGCATGAATGACCAGTAATACCCATAGGAGGAGTGTGATGGTTTGAGCCAGTGAACAAGCTAGTGAGCAGTGTTCCTCCGTGGTTTTTGCCTCCAGTCTCTGCCTGAGTTACTTCCCTCCATGATGAACTGTGGCCTGGAAGTAAAGTCAAATAAACCATGTCCTCTTCTGAGTTTCATGGGCAGCTGGGACAGTAGCTTATTCTATAAAGTGATTGCATTAAGAAGCACAAAGACCTGAGTGTGACCCCCCAGAACCCACTCTAAAAAAAAAAAAAAAACAGACATGGAGGCACATACTTATAATCCCAGTGTTGGGGAAATAGAAAGGTTGGTCCCTGGGGGCTCACTAGCCAGCCAGCCTAGTCTAATCAGCAAGTTCCAGGTCCCCTTAAATAATCCTCTCTGGGACCTACATCAAAAAGCAACAACAAAAACAAAAGGAAAAATGGTAGAATGGGCTAGAGCTATGACTTAGTGGTTAAGAGCACTTGTTCTTGCAGAGGACCCAGATTCGGTTCCCAGCACCCATGTGGCAGCTCAGAACCATCCATAACTTCAGTTCCAGTGAATCCAGCACCCTCTCTGACCTCCATGGACACCAGGCACACACATGGCACACAGACATACATGCAGGCAAAACACCTGTACACATAAAGATAAATAAAGCTTTAAGAAATGTGGACAGGGTCAGAGGAACAAAATTGGGGGTTGGCCCCTGGCCTCCGCAGGTGTGTACACCTGCACACACATGTGCAGCTACATATAAACACATATAGAATTCGTTCCCTTTCTGTCCCCATGATGACATCACTAATGATATCACACCATGGCATCACTAGCGCACCTTAGAAGAGTAAAGTATTTATTTGACTTTACTTCCAGGTCACAATTCATCACTGAGGAAGTAATTCAGGGCAGGGACTGGAGGCAAAACCACAGAGGAACACTGCTCACTAGCTTACGCTCAGCTAGCTTTCTTATAATGTAAAACCCAGGTTCACTTGCTTAGGAATGGTGCTACCCACAGTGGGCTGGGCCCTCCTACATCAATCCCCATCAGGACAATTCCCCACAGACTAATCTAATCCAGGTAGTTGTTCAGTTGAGTGTCTCTCTTCCCAGGTCGTGTCAAGTGAGCAATAAAAACAAACCGGAAAGGGGAGGGGGCTTCGAACCTTGCCTTGGCTGTGATGATTTGAGGTGGCAATAGGGGTGGTTGAGGAAACAGTAAAGTGCTTTCCTGCCTCTGCCTTGAAGAAGCAACTCTCCCACAGAAAATGAGAAATGGCCCAACTCTCCTTCTTTGTTACATGAGGATTAGCTTGGGAGAATTCACTTCCCTTCCCATCCATGCTGTGATTGCTGTTGGACCCTGAGTGGTGACTAAGGTTTCTTTTTTCTCTCTTCTCCCCACGGTGCCTCCTGCCATTTATGGTGCCTTCCACCTCCATGTGAGAACAGTGCCTACAGCACCGCCACAGAACGTGCAGGCAGAAGCTGTGAATTCCACCACCGTGCACTTCCTGTGGAACCCGCCGCCCCAGCAGTTCATCAACGGCATCAACCAGGGATACAAGGTACCTGGCCGGGTTTGGGAACCCCCAGATGGCACTCAGGGGCAGTACTGATCACATCATACATTGGGTTCCATCCTTCCTGTATCATCGAAAACTCAGGGCATCAAATGCCGAGTCCCAAAACCTCGGTGGGGCCACCATTTGTCTGAAGTCTAATCAGTTATCCCAGGCCAGAAACCAGAATGATCAGTTGATAAGAGGGCACAGGAGAACATGCTCTAGTCAGATTAACGGGGTTAAGGGAAGGCTGGGAGACAGCTCTGTCAGCAAAGTGCTTACCATACAAGCATAAAGATTTGAGATCCCTCAGAACCCATCAGACTAAAAGATTCATGTTTGGCAGTGCACACCTGTCATCCCAGCATCAGAGAAGTAGAGTCGGGAGATCCCTGGGGCTTGCTGGCCAGCCAGCCTAGTGAAATGAGTAAGCTCCAAGTTCAGTGAGAGACCCTGCCTCAGAAACTATGATGGAGAGTGACTGAGGAAGACACTTGAGGTCAGCCTCTGGCCTCCACATGGATGGACACCCATGGGCACACATATACATGCATACCAGCATACACATGTGCACACATTCATCACACACAAACACATACACACTCATCATCATCATCATCATCATCATCATCATCATCATCATCATCGTTGTCGTCATTGTCTATGTGGCATGATTGGAGTCAGCCTGTATCCAACCACTTCTTCCTGGACGGGGATCCTCTAGGCAGAACACAGAGACATCATCTATATGGCATGATTGGAGTCAGCCTGTATCTAACCACTTCTTCCTAGAAGGGGGTCCTCTAGGCAGAACACAGAGTCAAGGGCAGGGACTCATGAGAGGGAGGCTCCCATTCAGCAAAGAGACCATTTTGTTCTCTGCTTTGGGGATGGTTCTGTTTAAAGAATGGAGAACAGAGAGTGTGGTCCAGGGTGCCCTACCCAAACTGAATTAATGAGCAGACTCTGTTGCCGGGTTAGATGTGCTCCGGTGCACATTCCAACAGCATAGCTTCTTTCCTTTACATCAACTTCTCCTGGTTGAACTTGGGAGCCTGACTCCACTGTGCAAAAGTGAGTTCACTAACCCCTCATGCAGGAGACTTAGGGAGCCCCTTTGGGGAGAGGTGAGTCACTGATGCTTTCAGCTTCAAAACATGTCATTCCCTAGCACTTGGTTCGTTTTTCTTTTCCATTTGGGTTCAGCTCCCTCAAACGCGTGTTTGTCTGTGATGAGGGCAGGCCCAGCTAGGAGTGTGCCATGCCGCTGCCTCTTCCTCAGGGGTATCTAAGGGCAGATGCTTTTTTGAAGGGAAATTGTAACTGATCAGTGCAAAACTCCATCACTCTTGACTCTCCTGCCAGGTCTGAGTGGTGAGAACACTGTGCGCATCTGATGGCTGGCTTGTCAGTTTGATCTGCACAGATGTGTTCTGTGTCCTGCTGCCTGCTGGCTTTCAGAACCAATCAGTTCTGGAGACGCATGGTGTCAAGAGACTAAAACTCATACACATACACAGCATTGCCAAATCATGAAAGTGGCTTTTCCTGAAGCATGCACACGTACACACACACACACACACACACACACACACACACACACACACACACACGCGTGTGCGCGTGCTATTTCTTGTTTTGTTTCTAAGACAGTGTTTCATGTAGACCAGGCTGGCCACAAACAGTGTGGCTGAATATGGCTTTGAACTCTTGATTTTCCAGTTTCCACCTCCTTAGTTCTGGGATCAACAAGCATATGCCACCATGTTGTGTTTATGTGGTACCGAGCTAGAACCCAGGGTTTCCTGCTTGCTAACCAAGCTTTCTTGCAGTTGTTCTGTGTCCCTAACTCCTGTATATGGCCTTTATTTAAAACTCTAACCTATCTCCTAAAATCCACTCCAGGAAACTAGTGTAACATAAGTTATAAATCATTAAGAGTGTTCCTATCAAATCATTTTGAGTCAGTGTAGACATCTATCTGGAGAATATTTGTGTTTATCTCCTCATGCTAATTAGTTGAATTAACAGATGTCATCTCCCCCCCCCACACACACACACTATTAAAAAAAATCCATGCTTAGTAATATCCTAAGAGAAGATGGAGGTTTAAGGGAGTGTCCATTACTGTAACATGAGTTAAGCAGCCATTTCATTCATATATAAATATATATTTGTAAATGTACAAAATATGTGAGACATATATGAGATATATTTTAAAATCAACTTTTTAAAAATGAGATTATAAGATATAACAGGATTTATAGTCAAGCCTTACTGTCTCAGCTACTTGGGAGGCTGAGGCAAGAGAACCACAAGTTCAAGGCCAGCCTGGGAAACTTAATAAAACCCTGTAAAGTAGATAGGGATATAGCTCAGTGATAGGGTGCTTGTCTAAAATAACCCCCCACACACAGTGAGTATAGCCTAGTAATAGAGCCTCTGCCTAGAATCCTCGAGTGAGGGGCTGGGGTGTAACTCAGTGGTAGAGCACCTGCCTAGAATCCCCCAGTGAGGGGCTGGGATGTGGCTCAGTGGTACAGCACCTGCCTAGAATCCCCCAGTGAGGGGCTGGGGTGTGGCTCAGTGATAGAGCACCTGCCTAGAATCCCACAGTGAGGGGCTGGAAGTGTGGCTCAGTGGTAGAGTACCTG